CCCACCCCCAGGATCAACAGCCCTCCCAGCCGGGCTCAATCCCAGCCACCGAGCAAGTCAGGCTTAAAGCAAGCACCATTCCACTTGAACAAAATGATTTCTTCTGTAAAAGGTCCCTGTAAATCACTTGGTACTTCATTAGTGTTTTTCCAGCTGTTCTCTAGTAAGGCATTAAAACAAGCTGGCAGGAGCTTCAAAATGCTCCTCTACCTAGTCAGCTAGAAGGGAGGAATCCTTATGAAAACACAGATGAGGCTGCACACAGCTTTAACACAACACAGGAAATTAAAAATCTAACTTTCAAAAGACGTGCATGGGAAACAGCAAGAGACATGGGCAAGTTAAACAGCACTTGGAACAGAAAATAAACTCCCACCACTCCCAAACCTCACTGCTCTGGAGGGAAGCACAAGCAGAGAGCTAAAATGTCACCGCAGCTATCAGCTGGTCCTGGACCCGTACACGTGAGACCAGTGCACATGCATATGGAGTTTCTCTCCCCTTACTGGGCCTTCTTCCTCATGAACTGGCACTCAGCTGGAATTCAAGAGACTCGTCTGTAAGAAGGGGAGATTCTGTGAAGGGATTTTGATGATATTAAGAGGCAGCTCAGACGCAAGCCACCCAAACCCACTTTCATCTTCTGTGGAAAAGCACTGCCTTATCTTTCACAAGGCTTCCCCTGACCTCCTGCTGCAACGTATCTGTACTCAGTCCTGTACCATTTTCTGTCCAGCATCTCAGCTATGCTCAATCTTCTCTTCAACAACATTTCTGCTATTCCTATTCAAGGAAATCTAGTCAGAAATGGTTAAAACACCATCTTTAAACAGAACAGCAAGAATTCAGAAGTTTTTTGCCCAATTCAGCTCAGGCCCAGGAAAGGCCAGGCTGTCTTATCATCCCCTAAACATGAAGCAAGACTTGAAACCTGGCAGTTCTTAACGTTACTAAGCTGGCAGGCAATTACAAACTCCTGGCTAAACACACTCTGCCTCTAGCAGAGAAACCACGTTGTCAAAGCCTTGTTCTGACCTGCAGTCCCAACAGTGTGCCACATCTTTAAGGCATTACCCTCTCCTTTATATAACTTGGTGGCTATAAGGCTAACACAGCGCTAGCCACCAGCCCTCAGCAAGCCAGCTATGCTTCCCTAACGTGGATTCTACCTCTTTAAACAACATTCCTACCAAGAGCAGAAAAATCCATTCACCCAAAGAAAACAGAGCCTTTAAGTCACTGATTTCTGCAGAATTGAAGCTTTTTCACTTCTTAGAAGTCTGCACAAAGCTCTCAGCCCTGCAAAAGTACTGTCTTCCTTACATGTGCATTATCTAAGCTGGTGTCTTGAACCTGCAGATTCCTCCAGTACAAATCCTGTGGCATGGTGGAGATACCATGTTGAAGCACAGCAAAATTACACACGAGGTCTGTTGGATCCTCTGACAGCATTAAATCTCACAAACCCAACTACTGCTGCAAGGCAGGAGTGTGGAACTGAGATGCTGCCTTCAGTAACACAGAAGGGACAGTCGGCTACTTGGAGCGTGCAGGGGCAAACCCTTCTACCTCCCTCCATTAACAAACAGGCCATAACAGAAAAACAAAAGTCCTTATACTCATCCCATCAGTCTACTGCGTGACAGCAGCAATCTCCAACTGAAGGACAGAGATATAAATATAACTGACATTTTTAGTGACTTCAGGATATTGGTCTGCAGAAGATCTTTCAGAGCAGCTACCATCAGCAGAGGGAGGGAGAAGATACAGAAGACTCATTCAATTTAGGTGCTGTCAAATAAAAATAATCATAAAAAAAGTGTGGAGAACAAAACAACTCTTCCCTTGACACATTCCAAATAGGGAATTTGTAATTCTGTCCCTGTAAAAAGGGGATATTCTCATCTTTACCAGAAAACTGGCAAAACACTAAGCCTTCCTGGGCATCCCTGAGGAGGTCTGTGGTGAGCAATACATTCTTGCAGAGAACACTGTGTCACAAGCCTCACTTTGCTATTACTGAGAGTGATAATATCCCTGTTTGTTTTCATGGGCTCCACTTCAGTGACGAGGCACTCAGCTTACTGCCTTGGGAACAGCAGCTACACAGCTCAGTAGATCAGAGCAAATATTTACTGTGGGTCAGTGTGGGGCCCGCGTGCCTCGTAGCTCTTGAAGCATAGGAAAAGGACAAATCCACCTAAAAAGTGCCCTGGTCAGCCTGTGCGGAGATGTTCGACCTACCGAGAGTTAGACTAGTAACAGCCTCTGTCAGCTGATCCAAGGGTAGATGCATTGGAGTACAGCCACTGATGTTAACACGACAGCACTATTTTGGAAAAGCTATTTAGGAGAAAGAATTTCTCCTCCTACCCACAGGTGCCACGAGTATCTCTAACATGGGCCCAATCCAATTGACACTGATTTATTTGGGGCCCATCCTGTAACTACCCCAGCTCCATCCATGCAGAGCGTGGACAGTGAGACTCCTGTACAAGACAGAAGACTTACTCCAGATAGGTCTAATCTTATCATAGGTATTTCGTAACTACCTAGCTGTGGAGGGTGAAAAGTTACACATCATGCCTCACACCTCTTGTTTGCAAAAGGGTCCCCACACCACTTGGGGTGGTAACAGTTCTTTGCATGTGGACAAACCAAGAAATGCCCTGCTCTGATATGATGGTTTTCTTCAGATATGTGCTCTCCGAGAAGCAGCTTTAGGAAAGGTCATCAATATGCACTTTTAAACTGTCCATAACAGCTGTGTCAATGCCAACCCACAGGATTTTAAGCAGGTATTTTAGATCAGCCTTCTCTAACCTCCTGAGAACCTGAGGCCACAGAATTCCACTTATTCCCATACAGAGCATAGTCACTTCTGTAATGCTTCCCACAGCTCTACCACGCACATCAGCAACCTGCTCCTTTCAGCTCAAAACATACCCCATGGTGGGCTTTAAATGAAAGCAACATCCAGAGAGATCCATCAGAAGGGAAATCGCACGGTACCATTAAACAACAACATACGAGAGTTGTGCTTAGCAGAACACACACAACCTTGGGTTGTACCAAAGAGATCGAGGCTGACCAACAGTGTAACCCAGCCAAAACACATACTCCATTGAAACGTGCACATGTGCACGTCCTCCAGTTATGAAGACAAGGAGAATTAGAGTGCCTCTGGATTCAACACAGAATTACCATATTGCCTAATGCTTGTAATTAGAGGGCAGAATGGATTGAGAAGCTTACAAGCATCTCATTCAATGAGAAACAGGGGATTTGCATGCTCAGCTTGCTTAAGTGTTACAGGAACCACCAGCAAAAACGTCTGAGGAGTCAGTGGGAAAGTAGATGTTGGAATTAAATACCACCACAATTATTAAAGTAACCGAAGCAGCACAGTAACTGCTCCATAGGGATGAGCCTCCTGTGTACCAGTGAAACACCCTGCAAGAAACCTGAACCTTCCAAGATGAGCTTTCAGGAAAAAAATAATCATTGTTGTCAAAAGCACCCCAAGAAGCTGTCAGAGGAGATACCCCAAAGAAGCATGTGGTGGAATGGAGAAAGCGATGTGATGGCAAAAGCTGACACGTGAATGTGGAGGACCAGATCTCTACTGCAGTGACGGAAGTAACTAACTTTCTTGCTGCAGTTCCTTACTGACTGCTCCCTTTGGCAGCCTGTGCATGCTGAGTTTTCTTTACTGGCAACTGGCACACAGATGTTAAGAGTTAAAATAAAAGCAAGCACCAATTTCCCAGTCACAACAGCTGCTCTTTGCAGTTGTCAAGGTGAAATATTTATTGCTAAAAACAAGAGCTAAAGGTAACTTTCTCAAACGAACTCAGGCAAACAAAGATCAAACTTTACCCCAGGCAGCACTCAAACCAACCAAACTGGGGTAAACCTGAATTTTATTTGGAAAATACAATTAATCAACACTTTCTCAAACTACCCACCAATTGCCTGAGTAGTCTCATTTGATAAACAAGGAAGTGAGCTGTATTAATAGCCTAGCTAATTGCACAGTATGCTTCGCTTACTTTTCTCTCGGTGGGGTAGTGCAGAGTGGTAGAAGGGAGAAGGTGACAATGCACACATAGAAGCAGTAAGATGCACAGGAAGATATTCTATAAACCCATGTTTCTATAAATCATTCAGCCAGAAGCTGTGTTCTTGTTTACACACACAACTTTGCCAACAGGAGTCCACAGCCCAGCGCTTTAATATCAGGGTTCATTGCAGGTGCATGAAAGCTGAAAACTTGGGCTTTCAAAGCCCGTGCACTGGGTAACTAAAGTTTGACTTCTTTTAAAAAAGCATTTCATTTTTAGAATTAAAACAGAAAAGAAGGTACAAAATACAAAACCATTTTCACATGGGATTCATAACAGCGTTCCACCACCACCAAACATGCTTCTTTAAACCACAGCAATACTCAGATGCAAAACACCACCACTTAGGTAAGACAAAGCACGCTAAATGTTGATTTAAAAAACAAATGCCTGCCACTTCTATCTCACATTTTAAACAAGCGAAACAGATGAAAGGCAAAATATTCCTTCATTTTCCTTCAAGTACTAAATCCTTTCCGAAAATAAAGTCCAGAAATGTAATTCGTTACCCCGTATGAATAGTGCAAAATACATCAAGCCCCAAATAATCATTCTAGGGATACCAACACTAGCTGTAGGGCAAATGTAAATTTAACTTTTAATCCTTCATTTTTGCCATTTCCAGGCATCATGTACCTCGAATGAGGAGCCTGAAGTATTTTCCAGCTGACTAGCTATTAATTTGAACAATGTGAATAAACTTTGTTTGACATGCAAAACAACAAGAAAGCTACTTTAAAGAAGAAAAATACAGCCAGGCCAACAGAAAATAAGGGCTGTGTCTGACTGCAGCTAAGCAACATGCTGTCCTCCTGATGCTTAAGAACTTGGGTGCAGTGTGATTTTCACATAGGCCAGGATACCGGTGCAGTGCACTGTATGGAAAAATAGCCTGGGAGATTGAAGCCACAGTCCCAGCAACACAGCAAGATAACATGCAAAGCATGTTCCGTTCAGTTTGATGGCGAAGACATGCTTCGGTCTCACCAAAAAGTTCTTCCAGGCACCACAGTTACAGATACCTGTTGCTATATTTTCCAAAAAGACCCTGAAGTTAGTAGTTTTCATCACTCTCACAACTCCACTGGCTACACTACAGTCACCTTCAGTACGCTGAAGTAAGAAATGTGTTCTGTCCTACATGTGGGGACACCTTTAGGGGTAAACTTAAAGTGAAATACACTCTTGGGATCTTATTTTAATCCAATCCTACAGAACTGTTATTTCTGCATAAATAGCTTTTTTCCAGAGATCAAGGAAAAGACAAACCACGTCCCTAGCAGTGATGAAATGTTTAATCTGTAAAGCCATTGTAACTAAAATACATAACTACTGACAACAGTCACTACTGACCTACACAGGAAAGACTACAAGATTAGCTTTTATTGTGATGGATTCTCAGTTTTCAACTGATTATCAAGGATGAACCTCTTAGGAGCAGTGATACTCTGTTTATTTTGCAGGAATTAAAGACAAAAATACACAATCTGCTTATTTAGATCTTGCACAAAACGCAGCAATTTTAACGAGCTTAAACAGTCAATGTTTTCTTTTGAATACAGAGGATATTCTCCATATTGCTGTACTTACTGTGAAGATAGTCCGCCAGATCACCACCATTACAGTACTGCAAACAGAACAGAAAGCTCAGTTAATGCAAGGCAAATCAAAGATCAAAAAGAAAACCAGTAAACTTCACTAGGATGGCATGTTTGTCATAGTACTGAAACACAAATAACCACACATGTCAAAATACGTATTCAGAAGCTGGCAGGGAAAACCCCATTCCTGTAGGTTCCTCTTCTGTCCCATTTCCCCATACATTATACTGCATTATGATACACCAGCATTAACTAGCTTTAGTGTACATGGATGTGCACATGCACATCAGAGAGAAAGATAAAACCAGAACAAAGCAGAAGGGTCTCCACTGGAGACACCACAAGAAAGCTGGCTGAGGAAAGGCTGGGAGCAGCCATGGCTGACAACTGAAATTCCCCACATTGTGTTCCACATCATTAAGGAAAGTCAACAAGACCTTGGAGCAAAGACTGCAGAGGATAAACAACATTCGCAAACTTTGCAGGTAGGCTGCATCAAGGAAATTCTCTTTCCGTGTATCTCTGAAGCAAATACTACCCAGTAACACCTATTTGACCCTTGAGGTAAGGCTTCTGACTGATTAAACCTGTGCCAAGCACAGCTGCTTGACAGCAGCAATATGAAAAGTGTCCCTGGCTGCTGCCTTCACCCACATTGCTCCAGTTCTGCTGCAGATCAGATAAGCAAAAGCACCACAGGTGAGACTGCAATCAGACAGCACTGCTTGTGTGACAAGCTGGTCTGCTTAAAAGCTTATAAAAATACAAGGACAAACACACACACTCACCTCCATAACCAAGTAGACCGAGTTTGCCAGTTCCTGAGGAAACAGAAAATGAGAAAATAAAAGATTTAATAAGGCTTATGCACTGAAATATTTCACATGCTGCACTTCCTTTTAAACAGGTAAATTGTGCTCTGTTACGATTCAGACTGAAGAGAAGGTAAAAAACATTATAGGTTAATTCCTGGAAGATTGCTTACTTTGAAAGTACCAGGTATTTAAGCATGTTATTTCTTTCTGAGTGCACATCTGTTTAACCAAGCAGATCTCCTGTGTTGTGGCTTGGGTCTTCATGTTCATTTCAGGCCCTTGGGATTAACAGTGGCATGCAACACAGATGCTGGCACGCTACTATCTCAGAGCCTTAATCATTTCCACATTTAACTTGGCCCTTTATAGCATCTGTACCCACATGAGCAGCCTTAGTCTGAACAGAGAGATAAGAGCAACATAACTTCGGGTCCTGCACTTCAAAACCACAATATGGACCAACCAATTTCTACAGCTGCATTAACAGAGTGCTATTATCAGGTGGCTAAAGCTTTCTGGATTATCACAGGGGTCACCACCAGCTAAGTCCAGGCCAAACGTGTGTTTTTCTAAGTCTGCTGCACTGTGATGCTTCTTAACAACTCAAGAGTTCACCTCCAGCCTTAGCTGATCTTCTCCACTGGCTCCCTGGCCTTAGGAAGCACGTACAGAACAGGATATCCATGGCAAAAGCATAATGTACTGCAGAGAAGTGCATCACACATACAGCACCACGGAGCCTCATCAGGAACTTTGGTGGCTGTGCAGTACACACACTGACACAAGCAGCTGCCAAACCACCAGCAGAGAACAAACGTGAAAACAACCAGATGTTTCAACCCTGGGCAGACCCAGAAGGGTGAGTGACTAAATCCTCTTGTTGAAACAGAAGTCAGACAGAATCAGACCTACTATGTAAAAGCCTGTATGACAGAAGTCAGTCGTGAACTCAAGGGCCAGTCGTGGACAAGCACAGGCAGCAACTGCCTGTGTGAGTGCAGGAGAAGCTCTGAAAGCAGCAGCACAGCAAGAGAGTTCACTCCATTTCCATAGCTCCAGGGCAGCATGCCTTTACTTACATGCTGTTTAGACACCTGCCAGCCCGATTACTCTTTGGAGCCCAACTATAACTTCAAAAAGCCCCAGCATCAACCCTACCAGCCTTTAAGTTTTCAAGCAGTCTCCCCTGTCTGCTCCCATCCTCTTTCATCTTGGTCTGCCCACAGGACTCTACCTCCCGTCAAGCCTGTACCAAATTGCCTGCCTTTGTCAATGCCTCGAGTCCTCAGCACCTCCCATCATTTCTGTTGCAGTCCTCTTTCAACCTCACGATGTGAAATCTGAGTTTCCAGATGCTTCACAGAAGACTTGGAGGAAGGAGGGATAGTGGAGGAAGCTGAACTACCTGCAACTGGAGAGACTCAAGCTACAGCTGTGTGCAGCACGGGCCACCCAGCAGCCTCCCCGCTTCAGGGATCCATCAGACCCCAGAGCTGACCCTCCCCACCTCTTGTCACAACCAAGCCCAGCTGAGCTTTTTGGAAGTCCCCTTGTTTGTCAAAAAAGCCATTTTCTGTGATGCTTGAAGAAGGTGTTTCTTTACTGATCTCTGCATTTACAAGCAGCACACGGTTAAGCCATCCACTTTCACGCACACTTCAGATGAAGTGGGAAACCAGCCTGTGGTAGGGAAGCAACACAAGCAGAAAACCCCGGGCACCCTCACAAGCTTTGCACATGTCAAAGCACTGGGGGAAAAATGTCAGAAGAGTTCAAAGCCCACCAGCTCCTGCTGTCCTCAGCAAGAACAGCAGTAAGCCAAGGTCTGTGAAAGACACTCAGGCCTTTTCACTTCTCCAGGAAGTACCAGAAGACACAAGGACACACCAGATGTGTTGTGCTCAGGGAACAACTGCGGGGCTGCAGGCCAGGGAGCTCACTACAGGGCAACTGCTGGGCACGGAGGAAGTGTCTGAAGTAGCTTTTGCAGCCTGAATAGAGTTCACCACTGCCACAGCAACATTCTTCTTGCCTAAACATGCTGTGATAATTGTAGCTCAGTAACTCTACACATTTAATATGTATTGTGCCAGCAGGGTTTGAGGAAGCTTAATGTATCATTACCTATATAGAAAATGAAGGGGAAGTTTAGCTTACACAAACCAAGTCCAGAAGATATTTGTAATAGTTATTAGCCAATAGCTAATGTACACTGTACGGTTTGGTTGTTTTTCCACTCTATGTTATTTAAAGACTCTGCAAACAAGCATCAAGCAAGCAATTGATTTCTGGCAGCCAGTGTGTACAGTGACTAGGGTTAAATAAGGACCTACACAGGCAAGGGAGATGCTCTGCTCCATTTCCCCAGCAACAAAGTGACCTTGGTGCTTGGCAGTTTTACCCCACCAACACAGGTCGAAGAGATAAGAAGGCAATGCCTGAAAGGCTTCTAAGGCAGAAGTAGGTGGCTCCCTCAACCACCCACTGGCAAGAGCCCACTCTGAACACTCCAGCCACACTAGGAAGCGCTCCACCCTGCTGCATGCACACCCACCGCAGCACAGGAACATGTAGCAAGTGTATTTTCAGCTTGCAGACACCCATAGTAGGGTGACAACTTCCACATTTGCAACTTCAGCATTTCGAGACCCACTTACCAGAAAGATTTGTGGGAATTTTGCCAAAAAACCTGAACATTTATTTCAGGAAGGGCCCTGGAAACAAGCTCTTGGTTGGAAAAAGCCAGTAGCTTACTGCGGTTACAATGGATACGACTGCCTAAAGAGATTCCTGGTTTCTCAAATGGGCTGATGGACTTCTCCCAAGCTGATTCAGCAGCAGAAACCACTTCTTTCCCATTTTTATCCTTCCACAGTATTTACGACTTGTTCATTAACAAAACAAGGGAAAAACACTGCAAGCCAAATTCTGCAGACTACCACTTTCTCTGAACAGAAACAAAATGTCCAACCCTCTTATTTTCACATCAGCAACAAGAATAATATTACAGTTTGTTGTATTTCTGCAGAGGCTCATGTCCAAGTGGTTCAGATAATTTACTCTGGACCTCTTATTCACATGTGCTAGTCCGTGAAGCCAAGGCTAATCCTGTCACTAAACAAGCTCGGACAGCACAGAGGCAACCCCCTAAGTTTTCCTCTCATCACAAAGTGCAGCAGTACCCTGACCATGCTCCACAATAGCAGCAAAAGGCCTCTGCCAAAGAGATTAAGCTGATAATTAATCAGTCTGGATCACTGCCTGACTTGTAGTTCTTGCAGCAGAGGCCCCAGCGATGAAGTTACAATTTAATTGAGTGTAAAAATAGGCAACAGCCTCTACTGTCTACAAATAACACACATCTGCTGATGGAGGACAAAGAAATGAAGAGAATTCATTTAGCAGTACACCATAAATCACCCCGGGACAGTGCTATGCTGAAATTCCTCACCAGGACTCTAGGAGGGATGGCATTATGGATATCAACATCCAGCAGTCCTGTCTCCCTTTAAATTTTCTCTCCACTCCTACTGGAAGGTGGCATGATCCTCTTCTTGGAAAGTGTGTGTTTAGGTGTGTCCAAAGGGAAATGTCTGGGTGTACCCACAGTTAGTCATTGTCCTACCACAGCTCAGAGTCTGAGAGAGGAAACTTCCTGAGAAAAACCCTCCTCTGCTCGCGATCCCAGCCCATGGCCTGACACCAAGTTTAGAAAGATGCTCAGGAAGGAAGTTTTGCACTCCAGAACTCTCTGAGCAGTGCAGTGTTGTCACCAGTCTGTGTGGGATGATACACTGGGGTAAAACCAGCAAAGGATGGCTCCCACCTCACACAAGTCCTCTTCTCTAGGAAGACTGGGGGATGAATGAGGACGCAGCTCCACTGTTATGCCTATGTGCTGAGCACCGTGTGGCTGACAAGGGTCCTACTGCCTACAGGAGAGGAGCAGCATGGACCCAAGTGCTCAAAACTGGTGTGGTACTCTCCTGAGGAACAGCATACCACCACCCGTTTGTTGTCCTCCCTTCAATGCCAAAGGTGCCTGTTTTGTGCCTCTCAGAAGGTATCTAACAGCACCCAGAGCAGCTGCCAAGCACAGATAATTGCCACACATCTCTGAACAGGGCTAGGACTCGTTAATTGTACAACCCCACAGAAGCAAAGCTGAGGGTCTGACAGTGGAAGATGACCTTGACACCAAGTGGAAGCTAAGCTTTTCCACTCTGTTTTGCTTGGGGTTTTTTAATGCTGCTTCCCCCACTTGCTGCAGGAGCACATCACATCCGCCTGTTTTGCCAGCAGGATCTCATGGAGCCAGCGCCCTTTTGGCCTTTGGTCTCTCATCACCACTATTCTGACAGGCACACTGGAATCATGAACACGGGCTGTAACACACACCGTTTTGCTTTATAGGAACCAATCCCTTGGCCAGTGGCACCTGGAAAGCCTCTAGCTAAGGCAGGGGCTTGAGAAACAGAACCCACCATTCTCAAGAGAGGGAAGAAACTTTCCAAATAGTAAAATCTCTTGGTATTACTTCACTGTGGCTCACAGGCTTGAGCAGGTGAACCTCTGAGAGTGAAAGGAAAACTGTCAAGGATTATCTCCTGACCCAACTATTTGAAGGGAAGCAAGATGAAAGACAATAGAAACATCAATCTGAATTGCAGGAGCACCTACCAATGCTCACCCTTTGGAAAACAGATCTAAAGAAAAGGGTTAGAAGATATTTACATGTCTTCTGACCCCACGCAAGGAAAAACATGTCTTGGAGCTGACTGTGTTTCTCTGTTCTCTGGCCGTGGCTGTTCTCCTCACTCCTCTGAATCTTACCAATAAGGAATTCAGAAACATTTCAAGCAAGTTTCCAATTCAGGAGACATAAATTACCTCAAATGAAGGAAGAAAAGGAGAAAAGGGAAACTACTCATTCACTGGAGTATAATCTCTGCACAGACATACAATACCACAAAATGTTTCTCAAACCCAGACACAGCTTCACAGCC